TTCTGCCTTCCATAGCTTCAAATTTTTTTTCTATTATGCAAGTAATTTCTCTTTTCATTTCTTCTTGACCAGCTTGAACGGCTTTCATTTCCTTTCATTTCCGTCCTTTTAACGGATTCCTGGCCCAATTTCATTTCTTCCTTAAATGATGCTTGGCCAGCTTCCATCTTTTCTTGGAATGCAGCAAAAGCACTAATGAGCTGTCTCAATTGTTCTTCCATCGCTCTTGTTATTGGCATTCAAATCCCACTTCTGACACCAAAAATTGTTGCGTGCGTACGGGTTCGTTATGAAATGAATGCACAAGTCCGATGAAAAATGAACAAAAATTTATTATTATCACAACAAAAATGCTTAAATTTTCTCAAATTATCATGCAGTATTACAATATCTCACAGTAGTTTTCTTTTTAACTACTCAAATGTCCAATAGAACGTAATTCAAAACAGCTAAAGAACGCTAATCCGCGAATTCGCTACAATCAACAACAGTAGTTTTCTAAACAACAACAAACTAAGCAACTACTACAAACTGAGATGTTTTCCTCCTTTTATAAGATTTTAAAATCACGCGCTAGAATTTTCCAGTACTTTCTCGAAATCAAAAAGAGATATTTATTTATTTAATGCACGCGCTCTTGTATTTTCAATTTTCCGGCTTAGCTTTCTTTTAATATTCGTCACGCGCTGCACTGCGCGAGAAATAAAACCATTTAATTTCTAATTGAACTAACATTAGCTTTTTAAATACCAAATTCGTAACAATATAAAGACACAAACACCACACAAAAACAAAAAAAAAAAAAAAAGAAGAGCAAAATGCTCAGAATATTAAAACCTCTATGCGATGTAAATAAAATCTTCATTTTTTTTTTAACACAAATTTATACTGATTAGCCATAAGTTCTAAAGTAAGTGCAGGAGCCCTGTGGAAAATCGTCAGGAAAGAGCAACAAGAATAAAAAAATAAATAAAATGATTATTAAAATCATTAATAATTTAAAAATTAAATTTGTTAATGAGCATTAAATTAATTAATAATAAATTTATATTAATAATTAATACTTATTGATTAGTATTTAATTAATTCATAATTAATTTAATGTTATTTATTAAAATAATTAATTACATAATTAAAATTAAATAACATGTAAAGTGATAAAATAAAACTTAATAAGCGATTTTTTATATAATTTTATTGCTAAAAATAAAATTTTCTAGATCAAATTTCTACTGAAGTAATTGTTCAGTTACATACAAAAAGTGCCGGAGCCTTCTGATTTAGGGCTCCGGTGCGCTCCGGCTAGAATTAGAATATGTCCTAAAAACTAAGAAGTACCGCAGCTGGGCTCCTGTAGGCTCCGGTGCAAGTTAAGCTCTGATTAGGCCGTTACTGTTCTTTTTCCTTTTTTGGGCTAAAAGCGAAAACATCATGCAGGAAGAAAACATTGCCATGAAAAATAACCTCCATAGCTAGGAAACAAACAAACAAAAAAAAAGAAAAAAAAAAAAAAAAAAGCAAATTTCTGAAATTTGAAACCATCGATATGAAAAACATTATGATAAGAAGGGGAAGGCAGCTTTTAAAACATCATTGTAAGAAGAAACCCAAAGTACCTAAACAAAAATCGCAAAAATATGCAAAACAAAATACAAAGAAATCTCTCAAGGTCCTCATCTCTATAACATACTTATTGAAGTTTTTCTCAGAAAATCAGTTATATTTTATAAATCATTATAAAGCAATTAATTCATCAAGACATTAGTGATAAGTTTTAATTAGAAAAGTATTCTATAATAATGAAATCTTCTGTAAAACCAGATGTCAAAAATTTCTTGGAAGATAATTATAATTGATGTCTTGCAGTCCCCCCCCCAATCCAAACTTATTCTGTATGGTAAAGAGAACACTGCAGTATAGCGTTTTTTAAGCAGTAATAGGTGGTGGTCTACGAGCAGTTGTCACGAGCAAATTAGCAGTGACATGAGCGCCAAATACGAAACCGTTTTTGAGACATAATTATTTGAGAAACTTATTCATAGTTGTTGACAAAGTAATGATTGTAAACATAACAATTTATTTTTATTCTAAGTTAACCACAACATTCTCAATAAAAATTCAATACACGTTTCTGTTTAGCTGATAGATCAATTTGCATCTTTATCAACTTTATACGAGTGTATAAAAATAATGATAGTTAAAAAATATTTAAATTGACTTTTTTTTACTTTTTTAGATAATTTATGACTGGATTCTAATATATCATCAAAATTTATATTTTTCAATTATTTAAATAATTATTTTTTCACAAAATTTTATGATTTATATTTTTTAAGTTATGTTTCTCTTCATTTACTGAATGCTTTAATGCTTTTCTGTCACCAAGCCATTTTCTCCTTAAAGTGGGGGGAGGGGATATGTAAGATATAAAAAGATGAAGGAAAATTTCTACCAAATTACCAAATAATTGAAACAAATTACTAAGTTAACTGGCAATAGCCTTTCAAGTTCTTAATTTCAATCTCTCATCATTCTGCGTCAGGTATCTGCAGACCCGCATTATGGAAACTCTTGTCCAATCACTGTCCAAAACTCAAAGAATTCCCAAGCTATAAATATTCTAGCTGTGATTTTACAATTTTTTTACTACTAACTACAGCTTGTAGGAGTTGGACTGATAATGGCACAGATTACTTTGATTGATTTTCTTAGATTAAGTATTAAAACTTTTATTTGTGTCTTTGTTAATTCAGAAAGTGTCTGATATATTTACTTCTTTTGTTGCACCATGAACATTTAAATTATTACCCACACATCCACAGATAATGAGAAGACCATGATGAAATGCAGAATATGCAAATAGAAAGACATCTTTTCAATTTGAAATATGACCTTTTTACCACAATTAGAAACAGGCATCGAATTTTGAAAGTGGAAATTCGATGCCTGTGTCTAATTGAAACCCAAGAAAAATATCCTGATATCTGACGAGAAAAATATCCTGGCTGATAACTGATAGTTTCAGCAGGACATAATGACTAGGATAGGAATGCATGATAAAAATGTGATGATTGGAATGCACCAAATAAATGTGAATGCAGACTTCCAGAAAGGCATTACAACAACTGTAAAGAAGCTAATTGACTGTTGATCATCTTAAAACCTTGTTGAAAATGTAAACATCTCTAAAAATGTAAATGGTGAACTTAATAGTATGTATGAATTAGTGATGTCACATCTGATTTTGTTGTTCAACCTCGAAAGTGTTGTAGAGACATTAGGTTATTTTGAAGAAAGAGTACATAAAAAATTAGCAATGCCCTTGCCGGGACTTGAACCACGCACCTCTCGAGTTTGCTGACCACTAATACCACGAAGGCATGCTAAGAAGGTGGGAGAAATACCTTATTTAGCCCCCTTTTAAAGAGCGACTGGGGATTAGGGGACCTAATCTTCAAGTTCTTAATTTTTCGACACACACTTTCCAAATTTTTCCCATGATTCAAATTCACCAAAACCAATTGCATCATAATAGGGTTTTCATAGCATTCAATTACTCAGGTTGTCATAAATGAGACAACAACTTCGCGATAATACAAGAGGTACCTTAAAGTCAACTCTAACCCAAAAATGTATGTACGAATGTACATACATATGTATACATATATATGTAATAATAGCAGGGAAAGATGAAGCAGCGTCGATGCGTAATACCTAGATATTATAGATCATAGATCCATATTGAAGATGAAGAATTCTGATTGCATAGTATGCTAATATGTTGACTTTCTAATATCTAAAATCTTAGCTGTCGAGGCAGTTTTAATTCCATTTTTATTTGCAATTGACATTCGCAGCCACAGTTCACTTGGCACTCTATTCATGCTTATTCAAGAAAATTTACATTTTTGGTATTGTTGCAATAAGAACACAGAAGAATGAAACAGCGTATAACTGGCACAGAGGCAAAGGCTAAAGTGCATAGTTATCCAATATGAAAGCACATGAAGAGAAAGTTTTGGTTCGATTTAAATATTTCAGTTCCCAATTATTACCTCATCTGCACTGTGCAGGCCATGTAAAATGATGCAATTCAGAGAAGTTATTACTATTTGTAAAATAGAAAGGAAGAATTTAAATTATAATTTTGGTTTTTATATTTTTTATCTCATATATGCATATGTGCATATATGCATAATCTGGTCCCAATAATGGAAAAGTACATTCTATTATCACAAAACATCAGAATAAAACCAAATTTCTATACAAAATGGAGAAGAAAACGTGCAAAATTACGGCAGTGACAGCATATGATGTCATAGTACTTAAGAATTATTTTTTATTCACTACAGTACATAATTTAATTGCACATAATCTGGACTACATAAATATTACTAAATCATCTATTAAAATTACAGCTTTTAAGCTATTACAGCCATTGACGCTGTCAAAATAAAAGTCACATAAACAAAAACACTATGTTTTCCTGTTTTGAAAGCCAATTTAATTTATTCTCAAAATTAAGCTAATTAAAATATAGGTAAATTGTTAATGGTTTTTCTGTTAATTTTAATATAGGTCATTCCTCCTTCCTGTCCTTTTCCACCTGCTGTCAAATTAACTGTAAATTTGCATAAAACCATGGATGTTGTTCCTAGAATTATCCCAGTTAATTGTGAATGTACTGTACTTGCTGTCAACTTTCACAAAATTCCCCAAGTTGGAAAATATTCATAGTTATTTCAAGTGAATAACTAATTGTGACAAACAAAATATTAATTTTAAAATTTCTTTACTCTTTTATAATTAATGCTCTGAAAAATAACCTTTATGAATTTCTTAAAAATTTAATTATTTAATTACAAGAAATTAAAAATTCATGTCCAACTATATATATATTTTAATATATATAGTTGTTATAGTCCAACTATATATAGATTAAAATATTTTAATACTTATATTTTTTTAATCTGACTAGGAAAATAAACTGACAAAATAAATGTAGATAAATAAAAGTTTATTAATTGTCTACACATTTGAAGTTTTATCTTCTTCCCCATTATCGTTATCACTATCATCATCACTACTAGAGTGCTCATCACTTGTAGTACTGTCGCTGTTACTTGTGTCTTCATCTACACCTGCATTTTTTTGAAGTATCTCATCCACATAAGGTCTGTGAAAAAGAATAAGAAAATTGAGTATATTAAATTGAATACCTGCTGATTTAAATTATAATGTTATTCTTTTTTATATATACTGCTGGCCATAATGATTTCCAACACCAATAATCATGTGTCCAGGCAACAACATAAGAGCATGCAAGAATGATTAACAGTACAGCACATATGCAAACCATAAGTGCCACCAATGGCCCTTGGAAACAGAGGAAAACACAGAATAGCTGTCGAACATTGGAAATATGTTTGTGCACACTTATGTCCAAATGAAGGATATGGCAATTGTACCAGCAAGTTTCTGATCTATGATAACACAGTGACTGGCAAACGATAAACCACCAGCAGCTTCAGTGTATGAGCAACATGTCAGACTCGCATGAAGTGACATAATCAAATATCCCTTTCTGTACATGTTGAAACATGTAGTAACAATATACAAGACATTGACTTTCAAAAGATTTTTCTCAGCTATAATCTAAACCATTTTTACCTTATATCATGTAATCCCCAATAGCACCCCAAACCACTGTGCCACGTAGTCGCACAGTACGGCGTTCCACAGTTAGTGTCGGCTCAGTAAGACGTAGAGATCAGATCTGACACCACGTCGACGCCACACACATATGCGGCGACTGTCACTGGATAAACAGAAGCATGACTCATCTGAGAACACGACGGTTTGGCATTCTGTCATCTACATCACTCTAGTCCGGCACCATTCTAAACGTTGGTATCTATGCTGTGGGGTCAATGGCAGTCTTCTTAACAGACGGCGTGAGTGCAGGCCACGTTCAACCAATCGGCAGGAAATGGTTCTGGTCAACGCGGGAACATCCAGGGTATCTTGCACATGCTGCAGAACCACAGTAGAAGTGACTTGCGAGACCGCCACAGCCTGTCGGCGGATGCATCGATCCACGCGTGCTGATGTCACTCTGGCTGCACCTGCTCCCCTCCTTCTTTCCACATTTCCTTGTTCCAACCCTGTTTGCCATAGCCGATGCAATATGCTCGCATCCATGTGGGTATCAGCTGCGATTTGACGTGAGGACCAACCCACCCTTCTCAGTCCGATCACCATACCCCTCATAAAATCGTCTATCTGCTGGAAGTGCCTTCGTTGATGGCAGCCTGGCATTCTCTCCAATTACATGTATCCTCTGGGACAAAAACTAACTTTCTTCAATAATTCATCTGGCAGAAGTAACGGCACGAATATTGCACATTCTGCACGTTCCTTCCCTTATATCTTACTTCCCGTGCGTCGGAGAGCTGCACATTTCACATCATTCGCATAACTCAGTGACGTGCGTCTACTCTAAAATCTGCATAAATTTCTGACCACTCTTGGTGTTGCATTTTCAATGTCGAGCAGTGTATATGTAATAGATTCTGTAGCAGAATGCTGGTTGAATCCATAATAGCAAGAATTTTGATGTCGTAGAATGCTGAAACGCCAATCCACAATGAATAAGAAATTTGGCAGTCAAGGTATATTTACTGAGTTAGTTTGGGTTTTTTTGCTTCATTTTGATTGGATAGTTAATATTGCTACACAATTACTCTTGGCTGTTAGAGCTTTAGTTCCATTTACATCATCGGAATTACATAAGAGTCATATGACATGGATTGATCTAGAAATGACACAGTGCAGAGAGAGGTTACTATTTTTAGAATACAGAAGGGAAATTTACGTTGCTAATTTAATCTTTCATATATTCTTTATTTTTCTTTATATATAGTATATACACACACATATATAAAGAGCATCCAACATAATGAATTTCCCCCTCTCTTAAATATCACAACATGTCGACACTCTGTACAGCACGTTAGGTGACAGCAGTGGTATAGGGATAATCTTTATCCTGGTGGAAAATGCCCAATGGAATACTGCTAAAGAACAGCAGCACAATCACTGCAGTACAAATTTGCCGTCAAGGTGTGTGGGATAATGATGAGAGGGACTGCTGGTCTCATAGGAAATTACTTCTCAGATCATAACTCTTGATGTAGGTCCAATGTATCTAGTTACCCTTATGCTTAAACACTTTCATGTATATTTTACTTAACATTCAAAAGCATTAAAAGGAATATCATTTTACCTCTTTTGAAATGACACACCACTGCAATATAGTAGTGTTTTTGTGCAAAAGGGAGGTATTTGAACTGCATGAGTTCAAAATTCAAAGCACAATACATTAACATAGTAATTCCAAATTTAAACTAAAAAGAAGGAAATGGTACTAAAGCTAGTCCTCATGAAAGAGATTGTTATGAAGCACGAACAAGCAACCTCTGAAATCATTTTAGGACAAATCAGCTGCAAGTATCATTAACCTATGGTCTTGACTGCTTATCTATTATATTCCTTGGGATTATATATTTTCAAAAGACAAAATAATCATAAATTATACAACAAATGTTCTCATTTGTACAAGCATGAAACATTATACCTATTAGTCCAAAGTGGAATATTATATAATTTAGAAATAATTAACAATAAAGATGAGAAATAATCTGTTTTGCTGACCTTGTGCTCTTTTTGGAATGAAATGTTATTATCAGCCAATTCTTTGCTTTGACATCTATTAGATATATATATATATATATTTACCCTAAGACTTTCTCTCTTTATCTGATTTTCATAAATTTATCACAGCCTGTTCATTATTATTGTGCTCATTAGTCTTTGTATTCAAATTATAATACTGTCATAACCACTACTTTTCTAAGTTGACCACTACCAAAAGTGATCAGTATTTCTGAGAAAATGCATAAACACTGAGTTCACCTCTCTAAGTCAACCACCACCACTGACCATGTATAGCTCTCTAAGGCAGGATTATAATTTATCTTCATATCTAGTCCTTTTTATCAAAAACCATAGCACTACCATTGACTCAAGTACTGCTCAAATTGCAACATTCATGTCCTTTTGTTAGTAAATACCTTTACAAGAAATTAATAAAACTAATCACTCTAAATTTTTATTTAAAATATTTAATAAATTATTAGGTTAGAATTTGAACATGTGATTGATTGAAAAAAGCACCAACATTTTAGAATTTCAAATTTTTCGAAGACTGGCAACATCTGAAGTTTGAATATTCGACCCTGACAAAAAATTAATTGATAATCAGATTCATATTTAATAAATTAATTCAATTATTTAAAGCTAGGCTTGAGCTCAGTATGTTTTATCCCCATGTTAAGCAGGTGGGAAAAATTAAGTTAATTTCTATGGAAAAGTTGATAGTTTATTTTTAAACAATTTTCCTTCACCATCTATTTTGTCCTTTTTAGAAGAGAGAATAAGGGATAAAAATAAGAAAATATGAGTGGATCTATTTTTTAAATAAGGGAAAGAATTACTTACATTTATATGTTATCACTTTATAAAAATAAGAGATTCTTATTAATTTACTTCAAACATTTCTTTCTGCTAAAAATATGTTCCACTACTTTTAAAAGGATGTAAATACGGAGTAGCGATTCTCAAATTCTGATATGCAGCTCTTTTTGCTATGAAGCTTATCCATCCCTGGCTTGTAACATAATTCTAAAAAACCTAAAATTTCTATATTTTATCTAAAACAACTTAAAAATAATGCATGAATATTTTCTACATGAAATTAATTAAATTTTAGAATATCCAGTATATTCCCTATGAAAATGATTTAGAGTGCCTATGATATGAAAAGAGAAAAAATATTCTAAGCATTGAATATATGCACAGCTATACAATATAAAATTAAATAATGCACACTTTTTAATTCTATTTCTAGGGAAAAGGAATTAAGAGCAAAATATTTCTTGCATTTTGTTAAATAATAATCTTTAAAAACTTATTATACTTTAAAGTTTTGACACCATCATTTTTTTCCTTGATAACATTTCATTATCATTAAATTTAACTGTAGCATATCAAGTTCATACCTGTATTTAGCATCAAGCATTTCTGATTCAAACATTTTATCAGCTAATTTTTTGAAATCATCTTGAAATTCGAGAGAGATACCTTTCACAGCATATTTCAAACAAAACGGAAAGTAAAAAACTAATAGCATCAAATACTCTTACATACAAATATTTCCAAAATATCAAATTCTAATACCTAGTATCATCTTAACAAAACTGGTAATCGCAAAATGTTTGCTTATTTAAATTACAATTCTAATGTTCTAGATTTCAGATTTTCATAAACTTCGAAGAATTCTATATGTTTGAAATAACAAAACTGTTGGTTTTAGATTTATTGGGCTGAAAAACATAAAATTTAATAAAAACTTATAAAACAAAACAAAATATAAAAATTAATGATGTATAACTTCGAGGGGTTGCAAATTTACTATTATCTTTAATTTTTGATCAGCAAAACCAATTTAAACCAGCTCACATGCTCTTTTCTTTTCAAAAATTTAATGAAATGGAATAAATAAATAATTATAATAAAAAACAGATGTTTTATAAAAACTTATTATGCACTATATCCAGTATATTCCCTATAAAAATACAGGAAAAACAAATTCAAAATAATTTGTGATATGTTAGAAATTTATTTATACAAATATTATGATGGTCTTTGACCATGAAAACATTAAGAAAAATTTTATTTACATCTGTAATAAAGTATTTTTCATAAAAAAATAGGCAGATAAAAATACAATTTGGTTGAAATATAGCCTCTTAACAGAAAATTTAATTTTTGTATAAATTAAGACAACTGTTGTGAAGTCTCAAATTTCTCTTATTTTTCCTCCCCTGTTTATCAAACACTTTTTTTTTACTTTATTTAAATATTTATTTATTGTAGTTCATTTCTCAGTGGATACATCAGTTTGGATCTTTATTAGGAAATGGATTTTTTTCTTCATTAACAATACAGCAGATATTGATGGCATTAAGCTTTCTCACAATCGAGAAGCATCTGCTTTGGTCTTATACATGTGCTCAATAAATTCCATAACTTTCTTTGTAACTGTAATTTTATTGGATTTATGAGAATTTTGTCTAAATGTTTTAACTGTTCAAATTTATGGCAGTTTGGTGGAAAGTATATCAAGTACAATGAAGTAAACATGAATTGATATTTGTTCAACAATTTTGGTGAATCATCTGTACATGCCCACATAAGCAACTTTACCTTGGAGTCTCTAATTGGCTCCCTAACAGCACTTTATTTAAAATAAGAATTTATAGTTTCTTTTGAGGTATGTAAACTATGAGTACAGTGTACCACGAATTTTCAAAATGATGGTGAAAGAAAACAACCACAATTGCATGGCAAAATTTAAATTAATAGTTTTAGAATTTCTTTAAAGCTAACGGTGTCAAACCTTACTGAACTTACTTTGATTTGATACTGGAAAAAATAAAGAGATGCATTGATGAAGACAAAGTTGATACATAACTTAAACTTTACATAACAGCTAAATTATCTGATAATGATATTAAATGCAAAACACAGATAGGTTAATCTCTTTTGCATAATCTATTGCTGCTACAATGCAAGAGAATTTATCAGATAATACAGCCATGAGCGATATCAACAACTGAAGGTTAAAATTTAAAATGATGAGACAGCTGTACAGTAATATTAAAATATTGAATGGATATAATGCCCTATGAGTCACTTTTAAAATTAACACATGTATGTTGATATCTGAAAAACGGGAACTTACGTGATTTTTAAAAATGTATACAATTCAATAAAACAACAGTGAAACCACTCATGGCAACTCCTCCATAAGATGGCAATCGTAGAAAGTAACCAATATTTTCGATAGCAGATATAAAGATCACTTATCTTCCCAAGGTAATCATTTCTATAAAGGATTAAAACCATGGGTGCCATCTCACAGATATCTCACGGCATTTAATTTAGCTTCATTTGAAAAATTCAGATTGCTAAAAAGTGAACATTTAAATTTAATAGTTAGTGACTGATTATAACTGATAAGTATTTGTCTTTTTTTGTTTCTTTTTAAATTTACTGCCATGAAATTTCTACTTTTTGAAATAACACGAGGTTTTGAATGGCTCTATTTCCCAGCACATTAATAGTCTTGTACACTGCAATGAAATTATTTGTTAATTTTGATATCAAATAGCATTATCTATATATGACTACATAATTCTGATTGGTCATGGATTCACTTAAGAATATTTTTTTTAATTAGTCATTTTCTAATTAGATAATTTACATTTATGCCACAAAATAAAAATTATAGCAATGTATATAGCACAATCGATGGCTTAGTGAAGAATTTTTCTAAAAGGAAATAAAAAAAAAGGGATCATATTCAAATTGTAAACACAAAAAAAGCATTATAAACAGATACAATAAAAACATATACACATATAACGACTATACATGTCACCCAAATCCCACTTTTGAAACTACTAATTACTAGATTTTTCAATATAAAAAGCTAAAATGTTATTACTTACACTAGCTTTTTCAAAATCTTTCATTTCAAGGCACAACTCACAGAAGTTTAACAAACAGTCTTTCCTGATTAAAAAAAATATACAAAGACCATCAATCAAATAACTAAAATTCACAAATAAATAAATAAACAAAATGTTTATAAGAACTATAAAACCAACACTACACAAATGATACAATAATTTACAAATGCTACTTAGTAAGTACTAAAATATAACAAAAAATCAAAATTTTTAAAGCTGAAACTTAGGGGGAAAAAGGGGTGATTTTAAATAAATTATTCACAATAATTGTTTTATACTGTATTGCATAATATATGTAAAAGAAAATCACCATATATATTTCTTTAAATGTTTAGCCTAAAATAACACTTACTCGGAATAGCCAATAATATTCTGCTCCTCTTCTTTTAACTGTTTAATAATGAACCTGGAAATATACATTAAAGCAGTCTTAAGAAAATGCTACTATAATTCTCATCATTTAAATTTTTTCCCTCAAAAATAATATAAGGCTAATCATTATTAAAACTAAATCAAGAATAATGAAAATTGTTAGAACTAGTTTACAGTTACCAGAAATTTTATTTTGCTTGGAAATAAAACATTTTCATTAGTTTAAGGTTTGGTTTGGTTTATTTAGTTATGGCAAAGCCTTGAGGGCTATCTGTCTAAGAGGAGAGATGCCTTCATGGAGGAATTTCTAAAGGAAAATGGCTCTTATACACACTGCACATGGGAAAAACCATGAAAATGCCCATGCAGCCAACCCGTTTGTGGGATTGGAGTCTCAGACTGAACTACCAGTGTTCAGCAACTTTACCGCTCCGTCACTAGTGAGTAAATTAGTTTAAGGAATCTAAAAACTTCTGTTACATATCTGTTTCTAATGTTTCCCAATACGCAAATTTATCTTTGTTATAATTATTAAATTAATTTTCACCACTTCAAAATTAATAAAGATTTGATGCACTCAGTGAAATCAATCTGCATCACAGAAAATAATATCCATATCATTATTTTTAAAAACCAAAATGAATCAATAATTTTAACAAACATAGTTAACATATGAATTATATTTATATATATTCAAAATAGTTTTTACTAATAGAATTCTTCTTGCTTTTAATTTTCAGAAATATAAAGGTCTGTGGAATAATGTAGCATTGGCTTAACCCTACAACTAAGAGTGGAAAAACAGCTAGAAATTTATAAAAAGAATAGGTAAATGATATAAACCAAATATATCATAATGACACTAGAAACAAAATATTTGATATATGTGGGAGCATGTTCCTTTCTTCATCAACAGATGGATCCATCATTGAATCCTTGGAGCACAGGAAATGTCTCCTGCTGGGATAGAGAGAGTATTGGAGCAGAAAGATGCTGATGCTTGAGGAAACCATAAGATCTAGGGTTTAAGCAGACAGCTTTAAAATATTTCATTTTCATCTGTAATTTAATAGTGCAAAGAATACTCAACTTCTTGTAAAACATCGACATATGTATACTCATGATGTGCATTTTTTTAATTAACCCTAACTGTATTTATCATCTAAAAATAAATGTGTATATCTACAATGTTGGAGTTCGTATTTTCAAGCTAAGAAAACACTACATATGTGGTATTAAAAACCCTATTTTGAAATGCGTGCATAGCTATGATACAAAACTTAGCAGATAAAATAGATGTTTTCACATAAAATTTTCTGAAATATTGCTTTTATTAATTTATTAGGTTTCTTGAATATCTTCACATACTATGAATTGAACTCTTTAATTTTAACAATAAAAAAAAAATAAATTACCTGATCTATACACATGTTCTCAGAAATGGACAATGTTTCATTTACAAAGAGCAATAACATTTTAGTTTTCTTCTAACCGAGACAAAATTTGATGAAAAATAAGCAGTGCATTTTGTATGACTTTCATTAAGCTAGTTAAGTAATTTATTATAACAATTTAACTACAAGTTTCAATAAGAAACTTGTTTGCATTTACATCTAGTTATCCCATGATCAAAAGGTTACAAAAATGTAATTGGAACATTTCCATAACACAGTCTATAGGAATAAACTGTTATTAACAGAACTTAAATTTTGAACTCAATAATATTAATAGGATGCAAACACCATTTAGATAGCACCTTAATTCTAATAAAATATATTTAACTTTCTGGATAATTGAACTTATTTTTGAACTATTATCGAACTTACTGGATTATTGAACTATTATTAATACATAATATACCTTTATGCTTTTTAGAAGATCAGAATCATAACTGAAAATATTTATGATCTCCTTAAAAAACAATTATGAAAAAAGTTGAAGGAATATATTACAATAATAACACTTTTACTTTTTCCTTACCTTCCTCACCATAAATATTTAGAACACTTACCATGATTTTTCAAAGTCTTTTCCATTCAAAAATGTTTTCAAAATATTTCCAAGTATAATGCCAGACCAGCTACAATAAATTTTTAAATTAGTATGTGAAGCTTTAACATTTTAAAGTAACACAAAACTTAGTTTTAATACTTTGCATGTGATAATCATTTAAGAATATGATGATTTAAAAATAAATAAACTATTATTCAGAAAGAATTATACTTTTTATGCATATGTTCATAACAATTTTGCACCAGTGTATTTTACACAGAACCATATTTTAGTCTCAGAAATGACAGACAATACTATTTCAAAAGAAAAATACAGAAGCATGGTAAAAATTTACAGTAACACAGAAATGCATCAGAAACCCAGATTATCCTTTATTCTCAATGGATTTTTATTAATTTGAGCACACATTCAATTATTTACTATTTATTTACATAATTATACTACTATTTATTTACATAATTCCCGAGTTTTTATGTAAAAGTCTAAATGAAAATTTTTAATAAATTATTTTTACACAATTTTCTTTCAACTACACGATGCTACATATATTACCTTACTTTTTCAGCCCCTCCCACATCCTTTTAAAATTCATGCTCCACCATTTATTCATATGCATTAGCTATATTATACAGCCACATGTCACAGATCATTTTAGATGTTAGACATTTTTGAATTCCTATCGAAATGCTTCACGAACTGCTTTGTATTTGCAGCCATGTAAATACATGCTGGAACTCTTATTTTCCAAGAAACATTCAGTTATGAATGCATTTAGGGATAAAAAAAATTTTAGGGGATCAATAACAAAAAAAGTATTTTTTAATCCTTCTGTTCATAAAAATCAGAAAATGATATGTATCTTTCATGAAATACTTTATGTGAAATGTTCATACCTTTTCCTAAAAATAACTTGTATATTAATAAAGACGTAAAGGTTTCCTTTAAAAATTGCAATTTTTTTCTGCAGGTTCTTTTACTTATAACATACAGAGTTTCCAAGTAAATTTAATGAAACTTACGGCAAAATAAGACAATGCTCAAAAGAAACATTATACTGAAATTTAGGAGGGGGGGGAAGCACTTGTTCAATGAGATATGAGCATTTAAATAAAATAATTTTTAACTGCAGGTGCACATATTTTTTCTTAATATCATAACACAGTTGTCAAGTAGTATGTAGGCCAATTTATATAAAAGTTCCAGATGAATATCATGCAAATTAAAAAAATAGATATGACTGCCTCTTTTAATATTACCAGCAATTTTGATCAATCTCTATACATTCATGGCTGTAGCATGAAATACAAGTTTTGAGGCCAAGATATTTGAATGGTAATTCAAGTTGAAAAGAAATGACTTATTACTTCATTTCTTTCAAAAGCATAATTTATTTATAGTAAAAGTAATATAGAATAATGTTTCATCCAGAATGAATACCTTGTAATATAATTCCTGGTTTTCTTCCAGGTTAAGAAAAAATCTATTTCATTACAAGTTAATGTAATGCTGATTTCAGACAGATATTTTTTTAAGTAGAGCTATATTTTCAGAATTCCAAGGTATAATGCTATCTAGTGGGTATAATAGTAACCAAAGAATTTACCTATACGTAATTTCATTCACTTTTGTGATAATTGCATTACGAGATTTACTAGAATACAAATTTTTTAAAAGTTTATTGACTTTTGGTTCAACTTCAATATTAATAATCACTATTATGCACCAGGAATTGCAAACAGGAAACAAAAATTGTAATGAAACACTATTTCTAGAAGTGAATGAAAAACATTTTCTGGAAATTTCTTCACAATTTATATCATAAATTATTTTTTCATACTATTGTCCAAATGTAGTCCCCTCATCATATTATCCCTGAAAATAATATTTAGAATCTTGCCCTGGAGGAAATGCTCATCTGAATATGCATTTATATTTTATCAGGAATGTACAAATACTTTCAGAATTTAAATTTTTGACCTCATGACTATACAAGATATCGTAAACTGCATTAACAAAACTTGCCTTCTTTTTCAATCAAATTTTCTCGGGAAAGTCCTTAACTTCATGGACTTTTATATCCACGACTCTTACACAAGATTTCTGCTTTGATCTTTGCTTCATACAGTTCAAGGAAGAAGTGTTGGAAAAACTCGAATGCACCCTATTCTGTTCCATGAACTTTGACTACTGATTCATTAAGCCGAGTGGCAACATGGACCAAATATCAACAAGGTTTTCACTTGGCATTATGAGCATCTACAGAAAACTCAGCATGCTGCAATCTTAGTATTAGTATTCTTGCTATCAGACCAAACAACAGTCTTCCACAACACCTCAATAAAATTTTTCAAGGAATATTTGCTTCCAAGAGTTTTTTGCAATTAAAAAAAAAAAAAAAAAAGTCAGATTATATTACATATTCATGAATTAGATTATGTTCATGAAACCAATAAGTTTCGGATTATTAAATTCAATCAGTTACATATAAGTCAGTAAGCTAAGGATGAGTTATTTTAGACACAAATATCTGATAAAAACAAAAATTTACCAAAATATGATAAATTATTAGAACTTCTTTTGTAAAAGAAAATAATGAAATTGGCAGATACCGTATTTATGTGTCAAATAACAGATAATTTTACTTACTTAAAAAATATCCGCCTATTTGCTGATCTGGAATTGATTTTTTCTACTATTAGCCAAATCATTTCAATCAATTGTGTCTGAATCTGAAAATGAGAATGCATAAATTCCTTAAATCAGAGTTCATACATCTGCATATGGAAATTAAGTACTTTCAAAGACAACCAATGAAAAAAAATCAGCACCCATCAAGGAAATAGGAACTGAATAAACTAAAGTAATTATCTACATCCAAACTTCAATTTTATAAATTGTAAGAATAAAATAAATCTATAAGAAGGATGCATTATTGTTAAACAAAATTTGATATTCAACTTGATTATAAAACAAATTCAAGCATAAAATTAACTTCATAATTTTTTTCAAGTAATCAGCATTAAATTATAAAATTTCTTGAAACATTTATATTTTATGCTTATTATAGTTTCACATATTTTAAAGAAGATTAGTGGCATTTTACATAAATTTTACTAATAGCTTTATACTGATTCTCTCTTTTATACCTCATTTCATCATGAACTTGCTCACTCCATAGGTTTATGCAAATTTTATGTCACTCCATAGGTTTATGCAAATTTTATGTTAGCTGCACTTTATGTGATCTAGTTAAGTGTCCAAGCTTCATGCAGATTTGTTGGAGTTGTATAGTTAATATACAGTATTTAATATATAAGGAATTTCTCCTGCCTTTTGGTGTGATGGTCTGCAGGATGGACACGTATTCCAGAGGTCCGTGGTTGGATTAATGGCAAAGTTGTTGTTCATTTTTCATCTCCCCTGCTTCAAATTAACCTAATGTCTCTACAAATATAAAGTTCCAATAAACCATTGATAGGCTGTTTCTTGCATTCCCAATAAAAATTAAGGAAACCCAATAACTCAACATGTAGAGATAACTTCTAAGTGTGAGCAGTTAGTCACAAATAATTAAATTATGTAGTTAGACACAGTCATAATGCATTTACACAGTTACTAAATGTAACCCTCTAAACCCATTTAAAAAAAATTTTTTTACTATGATTTTCTTTTAATTCTAAAAAAAAAAAAAAAAAAAAAAAAAAAAAAAAATAAAAAAAAAAAAAAAAAAAAAAAAAAAAAAAAAAAAAAAAAAACCATTACAAGCATTAAGAACATTTTACAGCAGTTATAATTTATAATATTGACTCTAAAATGATATAAGTATACTTCTACATTAAAAGCAGCAAAACATTTACGTTTTGTAGCAACAACAAATAAAAAAATAGTCGTCTTTTTAGTTTGAAACTTTTTCAGCTATTTTACCTACTTTGGATCTGTTTCTTTCTCTTTAGCATCTTTTTTAAATTTATTTATTTCAATAAACAAATCAATCTACTTACTAGTCTCTGCTTCATCACTAATTTGTTTTTCTCTCTTTTTATAAAATCAGTTTCTTTTTTAATGAGTTGCCTCATCATTTTAGAATTTTCAGATTTAATTCAAGATTTCTGTTATTTTAAAGAATTGCATGTACTTACTGGGTTGTCTGAAAGGTCATGATGCATTTTTTCTATGTTCTTCAAAAGTAATAATTTATTTATATAAAGAACAATGAGCAGTCAATAGTATATTACCTGTTTTGTTTGATAACTTTTTACTTTCTTTTAATGAACTTCGTAATTCCTCATTTACAAAATGACCTAGCTTTATCAGCAAAAATCTGAGCAAGGTGCTGATTTACAGCCTCATCTGAATTGAGTGTTATAACCACAAAAGAAATTTTGAAGACAGTGAAACAAGCAAAGGTCTGAGGGCATAAGGTCAGGTGAATATGATACACACAGCAACACTTTTCATCCAGATTTCAGTAATTTTTGCCATTAATCAAACTTGAATGTGGTCTTGTTTTCAAGTTCCTACCAATGAGCCAACAAAGTTAGTTTAAATGTGTGCTGTCGCCAACTGGATAGTTTCAATGAATCCAAGTTCCAGAAACTTCCAGAGCTCATTAATTGTATTGGAATGCATTCTATTCTGATAATGTGAAACCACATACAAGTTTGATACATATATTTTACATATATATATATATATACACACACATAATTATATTTGGCCTACCGGAAAGTTCTGTCCATTTTTGGAATAACACAAAATACAAATTTCTCTTACTGTCAATAAACTTTATTAAATAATATAATTGGCATTATTATTAATGACTTCTTGCCAGCATGAGGGCAATTTGTATATCCCATTTTTGAAAAATGTTGTATCTTTCAATGTGAAAAATTGAACCAGTATCTTCTTCATTTTTGAATTTTTTCGCCCTTCAAAATATTTTGTAAGGACAAAAACAAGTGATAGTTGGAGAGTGCCAAGTCCAGGAAATATGATGGATGTGACAGCTTCGTTCTGCAAATTTTTTATGAGTCCCCAAAGCAGCATGGACTGACATTACCATGACGCAACATGATGTCCTTCCTATTAAACATCACCAGCCTTTTTCTTGGAGTGCTGTCTTCGGTTTTAAAAACTCATAATGTATTGGTCCTTGAATGTCCCACCATATACACAACATTCTCTTATTCGTCAAATTCGGTTTAGAGGTGGAAGGGCTATGTTTTCCGAGCTTACAATATGCCCTTTTCCGTACGATGCTTTTGTAGGTAATCCATTTTTTATCCCCAAAGTTCATTTAAAAATATTTTCGGGATTAAATTTTCATACATCTGGATTACTTCATTTAGATACATTTTACTAAATTTATATTAAGAGATAATATAATCAATATTTCTTCAGTAAACAAATTATATATATGTGTGTGTGTGCACGTGTGTGTATTAGAAGGATTTATGCATTGAAAAAAAAAAAAACGACATGAATATACAAGATTATACTTGAAATTAAAACATGGAATCATAAAGTCAAAGCAAAGAAATGATTTCGAGCTCAAGACAATGTGGCAAATTCTATCCAATATCACAGACATGGATTGGGATGAGTGAGACACTTACATCAAATAAAAATGACAGAATGTAAAATTAAAATATAAATGTTGAATCCTAAACAAAATATTCAGGGATATAGTTTTGAAATTTGCCTAGTGTACTAAAATCTGTTGGTACAAAATCTCCAATACAGTAACTCTCGCTACAACGATACCCGATACAACAATAACTCCCTCTACTACAATATGTTTTGTGGTCCCGGTGATTTTTGCATATAAACTAATGTTAATCTCCCCTCAATATTGCTATATTCTCTAGAACAATAACCTCTGTAAAACGATTTTTTCAATCTAAATTTCAGTATTATTTTCTCCCTTTATAATATATTTTGATTTTCAAATGCTTTTTTTTCGTTTTTTTCGTGTGTTATTTTTCCATCTATTAAGACTCATTGTGGATATTCAACTTATCCCTGAATAAATAGCTATTGTTCATTTCAAAACAGATGAAGACCACCCTTTTGGGAATTGGAGTGGGTGAGGGGGGGGGAGAAGTGTAAATGTATGCCTAGTCTCATTTCCAGTAAGCTTGGAATTCTGATAAGGTTTAAGGACATCTAGACCTGTCTGGTCACCTTGTCACAGAACAAGTGCCCTTTGTTAGAGGAACAGGGGGAGATGGAGGCGGGGTGTTGTTAAGACGGACGTACGAAAAGTGAGTTCAAAGGTTGTTTTGTAGTCTTTAATGATTTGAGGTTCTACGCGAAAAATTTGGTTTAAACTTTTTCTTTCTTTCACGCGATATTGTTCCCTAAGATGGCAGGGGCGAAAGCAACTATCTTTTCGAGATAAACTGAACGTATCAATGATATTGATGAGGGAATGAAGCAGATTGATGTGGCTAAGAAACATGGATTATCGCAATCTACAGTTGCAACGTTCCTAAAGAAGAGAAAGCAAATCGAAGATGCTGTAACCTCAAATGAAATTAACCCAGAGCGAAAACGATTGAAAGTTGCGACAAATGAAAACATTGATGTTGCTGTTTTAAAATGGTTTCAAGAGATGAGAGCAACAAATGTCCCAATAAATGGGATTTTTATTATGTGCAAAAGCACGGAAATTTGCAGCAATGCTAGGGAACGAAACTTTCAAAGCTAGCAATGGTTGATTAATGTGTTTTCGAGATCGTCATGGAATAACTTTCCAAGAAGTTCATGGAGAGAAAAAATCAGCCCCGATAAACGACGCAAATGAATGGCGGCAAAACAAGATGAAAGAAATCTTAGAAAAGTATGCTCCAGAAGACATTTATAATGCAGATGAAGCTGGGCTGTTTTTCCAGCTCCTACCCGATCGAACATTGGCATTCAAGGGTGAAAAGTGTTATGGAGGGAAGAAATCAAAGCAGAGACTGACTGTTCTTTTGTGTACAAATAGCACAGGAACACATAGAATACAACCTCTCGTCATTGGTAAATCACTGAAGCCAAGGTGTTTTAAGAATGTGAAAAGTCTTCCCGTGGAGTATAAAGCAAATAAGAAGGCTTGGATGACGTCTAAATTTTTTTCCGAATGGTTAAAGAAGTTAGACATGAAATGAAGAAGAGAAAGAAAAAAATCGCTTTGTTGATAGATAACGGGGTGCTCACACGTCATTTCCAAAGCTACAAAATATCGAAATCGCTTTTTTCCCTGCCAATTGCACTTCAATTTTACAGCCTCTTGATATGGCCATAATTAAGTGCTTCAAGGATATTACAGAAAACGGTTGGTGGACTCCATATTGTAACTTTGAAAATAAAGTAGAAGACCCTTTCAAGCTGTAAATGTTAGGAAGCGTGTAATATTACTGGAAGTTGGTGGGAAGTACAGAAAAACCCATCGGAATTGCTGGAAAAAGGCCGGTCTTTGTGTTATGGAAGATAAGAAATCTGATAATGATAAAATTCCATAGACCATGATCTCTCAGATGATCAAGAAGTGTTTTCACATCAAAAAATCACATCCCAACTTGAGGAAACAAGCGTAAAAAGTTTGGATTAGTATAGAAGACTATTTTACAGCAGATGATGACTTATGGTTTTCGCAGGAGTTACTGATGAAGATATCTCTCTGAATTAATGATGAGATAGGAAAGAATGATGAAGATGATGATGATATTGATGATGATGATAATACAGGCCATCGCAGTCCTTATTGTCATCCAGGAAGCTCTTAATCTGTGAATTCTACGGACATTTTTCAAGCTTCCGTCGACAATGAAGAAATTTTCGTTACTAGACTCATGCATAAGTATTGGTGAACTTAACAGTAAAAAAATCAATAAACAAAAAAAATTGGATTATTTTCAATAAAAAGTGTTTTCAGGTATGAATATTCTGTGTTATTTTTGAATTATCTTATTTATTTATTTTTTAGTATTTAAACACTAATTAGTATTTTACAAATTAATTTCTTCTAAATATAGCTTAAAAGTAGTATGTTATGCACTTTAAACTAATAATAATAAAAAAAACTCTTATTAAATGCTCAAAATATGTGGCCCTTGATATAACAATAGCCTCTCTACAACATATATTTATTTGGTCCCTAAAATATTGTTGTAAGGAGGTTTCACTGTATACAGAATATTTAAGGTAATTGAATAAATTCTAGCATAAGGTACTCATTTCATGCTTCAACACAAATTTCCTTTTTTGCTGATATACGTTTATACAGACATCAAATATATAATGACTTGTTTAATTTTGGTCCCAGTTTTAATTTTTTCCCTAATTTTAGTTCTTACAGGAGGTTGCATATAGAAAATACATTTTGCAGACTAGTTCTACAAATGATTAAAGATCCAAGATTTCATAAATGTGCAAAACAGAGTAACTGACAAACTTTTCATTGCATCAAATTGCAACATATGAGGTGGCATTATATTATTATTGAAATAACTCATTTTCTATCCATCACATTAAAAGGTAGCATTACAGGTCCACTTGTTAGAAACAGTAACCAAATTTTCTGAAAAAGATCAAATTTGATTGTGAATCATAACTTATATCAGTACACATAAGAAAATGTATTGGAGCTACTTGCTACGCATGTCCCACATACATTCAAGATGGATTAAACCAGAGTTCATTGCAACTTTATTACCCAATTATTATGACCCCAGCGAAGTTCTGAGAGGTATATTTCAATGTATGACTGTGCATTATCATGTACGCATATAAGTTAGGCCACCATGTAACATATACACCAAATACTTTTTAATTAATTGCTATTTTTTGTTCAGATAAAATACTGTTGAACTTCATTTTACTAGTTCAGGATAACTAAAAATAAATACTGTTGACACAGACCTGGTCTTCATGCTTCATTATAGCAGCTGCTTCTGTCAGTAAATTCAGAATATTTTCTCTGTCACTTTGTTCAAAAACCAATACATCTAACAACAGAGTAAAAAATTTCACATCATTATATAGAATATATACAATCTCAGATAACAGTACTGTTTCAGATGTGGGAAACCATTTTTTGTGCATCATTAAAAGTTTTACCATATTGGAGTCATTATTGAAATTTTAAAATAGTAGTACTATTACAATTTGAGATTCTAAACGTAAAAAATAATAAATAAATAAAAATAAAGCTTTCATTGATACGAAATAAAAGTAAACACAGCCACAATTTTAATGAGTCCTTTCTTTGATTATTAGTAGCCATATATTAAAAGTTCAGCCCATTCTCTTTATGTAGCATAACATCTCTAATTGTTTCATTTGACAAACTTAAAAGTTTGATTTAATTGTGTTTTCCATATGTATACAGTATACTACAATTAAAGCCTTTTATGATGAACTTTACAAGCATTTTATTTCACTATATGGAAAGGCATTCAATATTTCTCACTCGATAAATTTGATGGGTGGGCAAGTCATTGGATGATCTCCCAAAATGGGATAAAACAAAAAAAGTCATCATAACTACACCACCCAAGAAATGTATAAATAATAATTCAAATACTTTTACATCTTTCTACAAAGCATCCAAATAACAAGGACAAGCCCACCAAATATTATCAGGAAATATACAAAACATTTCAAAATCTTTCAACTATCATTATATCAATTAAGAAACAACATACAATGAATGAAGGTGGATTAATTACCACTTAACACGTTTCAAAATTAATTGCAAAAAGTGGTAAAAGTGGAGAAACTGTAATAATACCCTCTATGAAAGAATTTATCTCACAGCAATGGATCAGGACATTCCTCAAATTTTAAAAACATTGCCCCTAAGCGAAAGTAAAGTAACAAACTGATCACAGTAAAGCCATGAACTGATGAAATGGCAGTTAATGTTGAAAACAGACTTTATCCAAAACTCTTCATTTCCTTGCAATTGGACTAATCTATCATTGCAGATAATGATGGTTTAGTGATGCATATGTATGCTATTTTTATGAAAACAATATATTATGAGAAGAAATGCTATTCACAATAAATCATATCACAGAAACAAAAGGATTATCAATATTTAATACTATGAGAACATACTTCATAAAAATAATATTCCTTTGAATAATATTGTTGCACGTGCTAGTGATGGAGGGCCGTCAGTGATGGGTCATTATGATGGATTTGTTGCTTATTTGTAGCAAGAAATGCCAAATGTTTTATGTATTCATTGTGCAGTGCACAGACAACATCTAAGTACAAGTTTCCATTCATCATTAACTATGATAATTTGGGCCGTAAACAAGATCATATCCAATGCAAAGAATAATAGAATGTTTTGCGAGCTTTACCAGGGCAATAATGAAGATTTTATTAAGCTATTTTCGCACATATAAGTTTGGTGGCTATCAAAGGCTACATCTTTAGCTAGATTTGTAGATATATATTATAGTATCAAACAATTTCTTTAAAGTAATAATGAGAACAATCTGTGTCAACAGTTAAAAACTGTAAAGAATGATGTTTTTTACTCGCCAGATATTTTCAAGAGATTTGACAATGTCAGTTTGTACCTTCAAGGAGCTAAGAAAACTCTTATAGGTTGCTACTATTTATTGACAATCTTGAAATACTTCATCATCATGTATTCAAGACAGAATTTCATTATTTTCATCAATTATCATCTATAAAAGATGATGTAACTCCAGAGGATATTCAGAGATTCAGTAGACACCTCAGTGAACTTAAAATGGACATGGAAAAAGATTTGAGGTTCTTTTGCAATTGAAGATATAAGACTTGATGAAAAATCTTTTTATTGCAAATATTGAAGAGGCTAATGGAACTTGCCAAGAAGAACTGTTAGAAATTAGATAAAATGAAGAAAGTTAACATAAATTCAACAGTGGTGAAATTCTGATGGCAAAATAAAAAAATCTGATGTGTACACCACATGACTT